AATAAAAGAGATGATTTGCATTGCTGTAGACCCCGCCCAAGGATGGCTGCCAGCATCATAAACATGTCAAGGTATCAAATTAGGCAATGTTGACATTTGGCATGTGGCAGATTGCACAGTAACTAATCTCTGCAATATCTGTTGTAGAATGGTCCTGCGTTTCATACTGAGCGCATAGCTTAAGGATACTGTTAGGGTTGGGAGGTGATTTTCGGATCAAACTGTTCAATAGTCTCACTCCTTTGATAGATCGCACCCATTGCAGCTATTGCATATGTAGAAATTGTATGTATGTAGCGCTCCGGCAAACACTTCCGAAATCCTTTGCATAGTCAAGTTCTTATCATAGGCAGTTCAATTTATGGGAAATTTAGAAAAGTGCTAATATGCTCGCCTTGTTAGAATTGCCGAAGTGCTGATTTTTTCAAAATGCTATTTCTCAGAAAGCACAACTAGCCGATTCCCGACATTTTTGTTAAGCTGTTTCAATAATACTAACATTACCAAAGAAAAAACGTGTCCGGCTGGAATTTTGTTTAAAGATATTTTACAAGGTTATGGCTGTTTGTTTACGAAATTGTTTGCGTTTGTGAAATTCACTACAAATTTTCCTACGATCTTTTAAAGCTTCATTTCGCGTAAATTAAAGCATTTAAGAAAATTCCAGACGAGCCCCTTTTTTAGTTCATATTATGAACAGTACTTGATGGTTAACAGAGTTTAGGTCCCGAACTGCGTTGGCTTGTTTGCTGAGAAATAAAAGAGAGCATTTGTTTTGTATAAATTCAAATTTTTGCGCCGTTCCGATAATTAGCAATGAATTAAAAAAAAAAATCCATCCAGAGCGTAGAGAGATACTCTCTCTTATGTAAGGATATTGAGTTTGATTTAAATTTTGATGAGCAGTTATGTTTGCAATGCCCTTTACAGTGTTCGCGCGTCCGTTCTAGACAGGAAACAGGTTTCAAAAAGTTAGTGAATGCTGGGATGGGGGCATATTTGCGGTAGAAAGGTGAAACATGGCTGTCACGGTTGTCTGAAACATAAACATAAAGCGACCCCCTTTCTCTTTTTTTTGACTTTTTTCGAAGTCGGCTTTTTGTAGCGGATTGGGTGGCAAATCAGACACGTCACAATCGCCCGTTTTTGGCAAACATGATTGCCCTCCTGAGTACCGTCACTGATGCTTGTCGGCTTTATATATGTTGTGAATTTTCCGTGTTTGAGATTTTGAATTAAAAAAAAAATACCCAAAAATTTAACAAAAAAAATTAAAAAAATTAAAGAATAAAACAAAATTAAATCGAAGAGGAACCGAAGAGTAGAAACGCCATTGATGTGGGAGCAGGTAGGAACACCAAATCCAATGCATAACCGTACCTACTTTGGTTTTCTAATTACATTTCTGGAGGTCTGTGTTATTCATCGTACGTTATGAACTCTTCTCTCTCTGCTGCTGCTCTCTCGTCTCTCTCTCTCTCTCATCTCATCTCTCTCGTCTCTCTTTCTCTCTCTCTCTCTCTCTCTCTCTCTCTCTGCTCTCTCGTCTCTGCTCCTGCTCCTGCGGCTCGTCGTCTCGCTCTCGCGCTTCTCTCCCTCCACTCCTCCTTCGGTGTTCTCATTGAGCCAGAAAAGTGCTCCGAAGTTTACTATTTTGAAAAGTCTGCCGGACGCGGTTTTGTTACACAGCTAGCAGTAGCCCTACGCTAGTGCAAATAGTTCCTGAAACGAAAACACTATAATTATTTGTTTCCTGATTGCATAAGTAATATAGATAACGATATGATTTAAACAAATTTCACAATTTTGTACTCAATAAACATCGACTAATGAATTATAACTTGTTTTATCATAGAAAGAAACTGTTAATGAATCGAGCTGATCGCTTGGCTGTATCACGGATGTGTAAACATCACTGTGGTGCTACGTTCGTAAGAGAAGTAATTTCGTTTAGATTTTGAGAAGAAATGTTATGAAAGTAGCAATACAAATGAGTCGTCGTGAATTTTTGCAACATATGCAAGCTCACAGTAGTTATATATTTTATATATATATATGCATTTAGCTGCGAGGTTGACCAACTTTAACAAGCACCATGTTTTGCCCTAACCACCAATAATATAATATATTAATATATATTCTCACAGATTACATCAAATGCTTTTGTCACAATAATTGCACATGTTGGGTGTTTTTTACAAAGGAACGTATAAGATGTCATAAGTTCGTCGTACTGAGCAAGGAACATCACCTAATAGTAAGATGAGGCAATCACAATCAGACTTGGTCTTCGTTAATTGTGGTTTAAAACAATGAACACAATCTCCCACCTCTTGAATCAGCGTTGACTCGCTGAACAGCCACTTGCGTCCACGCTCCTGGTGATGCACCACAGTCCACAACGACACTACCAGGTTTAAGAAACCTACAACAACCCGTCTGTTATGTTCATTTTTGAGATGATGTACTTATGATCGACATAATAAAACTACAGACAAATCACAACAAAACACTAGATGTTTTGGATATCCCGTCTACTTTCAGGAACGGAGCGAAGTAGAATGCGCTCCCGTTTACAAGTCTGTCTAAACTGCTATTGCGATAACCGTAGTATTTCAGCGCAATATGAGGGGGAAAAGTGCCGGTTAGGAGGACCGGCAGTTTCGTAGAGGTGGTGGCCGAAGCAAAAACTTGGCATCGTGCCTCTGGGTTGGCACTAATTTTAAATGCTGTCAATAAAGTGTACCGTATATTCTCGCGTAATA